CAGTGCACAAAGTAAGGTCCATAAAGACATGGATGAGCGAGTTTGGGGTGGAGGAACTTGACTGGCCTGCACAGAGTCCTGACCTCAACCCGATAAAACACCTTTGAGATGAATTAGAGCGGAGACTGCGAGCCAGACCTTCTTGTCCGACATCAGTGCCTGAACTTGCAAATGTGCTTCTGGAAGAGTAGTTAAACATTCCCATAGACACCCTCCTAAACCTTGTGGACAGCCTTCCCAGAAGAGTTGAAGCTGTTATAGCTGACCCCACCCTAATGTTCACCTGTCCTTCAGCGTGTGTTTCTGTACTGGACACGTTGTGTTTGGATGGTGGGGCTTTTTTCGTGCGGGTCATCGTAAGTGACATTGGATCTATTTTGGGGGGGCGTTTATTTTTTGGGGGGAGGTTTATTAAAGATCTTGTCAAAAACTCTCTCTGTTTTTTTTCTACCTTTGACATTTTTTGGTGAATGAGAAGTATTACCCCATACTCATTTACATGGGGAGGGGGGTGGGATCTTCCAAATTCCGATAAGCCCCCACCTGCAGATCCCCACAGCCACTGCCCAGGGTTGTGGGGAAAAGGCCCTTGTCCCCATCGACATAGGGATAAGGTTCTTTGGGCTGAAATCCCCCCTCCCCCAAAACACCCTCCCCCCATGTTGAGGGCATGTGGCCTGGTATGGTTCAGAGGGGGGCGTTCGCTCGTTCCTTCCTTTCCTGGCCTTCCAGGCTTTTAGTTCGAATAAGGATTTTGGGGGGATCCCATGCCATTTTTTTTTTAATTCTGGGGTGGGGTTCCCCTCAAAATCCATACCAGACCCAAATGGCCTGGTATGGATTGGGGGGGACCTCATGCTGTTTTGTAATTTAATTTTTTTTAATCAACATTGCATTCTGCTGACAGCTGGGAATCCTGAATGAATCCTAATGAATCCAAAAATTTCATTATAACTTTTTGGGAATTTGCTACTATGTCTTTGGAACTTCGGATACATACGAATCTTCAAAACTGAAATTTACATCCAAAAATCGAATCTGAACCAACTGAATCACACATGTCTAGTTGGGACTCCTAAGTCACTGGGTGTTTGTTCTGGTGCACAATGCCACCGAGATAGAAAGTGATGAGAAATCATTATGATACTAAAGTGATACTAAAGGTTCAGTTTTTTTTTAAATAACAAAAACGTCATACTTACCTGCACTGTGTAATGGTTGGTTTAGCTCAGAACAGCCCCGATGCTCATTGGCCTTGCACCCCCTCCCCACTCCCTCCTTACTGGCTGTTACTGACAGCAGAAGGAGCTAATGGCTCTCGCTGCTGACTTTCTGTTCAATGAGGAGAGAGCCAAGAGAGCCACCGCTCTTGTGTACATCACTGGATCGAGATCGATCTAAAATAAGTATGGGGGGCGGGAGCTGCACAGAAAAGTTTTTTACCTTAATGCAGAGAATGCATTAAGGTAAACAAAACAAAAACTTTTACTTTTACAACCATTTTAATGTCCCTGTAATCCCTTTTCAGGAAATAATTTCTGTGTTTTTCTGCCTACCTGTAATATCCTCCATGAGCTACAAACCTTTCTTTTTCTCCCTCATTACGTTTGTTTGGAATGAGCAGTTGGGTTAGTTGTGGTGTAGGACCTAGACCACCTTTGATTTGAGAAAGAGAGGGTGGCTACGCTCTTACAATGGAAACATGGAGAACAAACGTAGCCACCCTCTAACAGGAAAACAGGAAGTCAGATCACAGCAGAAAAAAAAAAAAAAAAGGAAGGAATGTGGTGATTTGGACAAGGCATGGAGCAATAGAAAGGGCTTTAAGTTAAGAGCACGTACTTAAATGGAAAATATTTTTTTAACCACTTTAAATTTCGGATTTGGTTTGCAAACAAATATTTTCACTCATTTGTCAAATGGTATGATGCATGCAGAATCATCACTGTTCAAACACATGTTTGATGTAGAGATAGCTCATCTCCATAATTGTAGTGGTCCGGGATTCACACAATGCTCTGCATGTGAAACATGTCTCAGTTTAATGACGCGTGACAAGCTGTCTTTTTAAACTCGACAAATTATCTTGAAATGGGATTTTCATACTTGTACCATTTGGCCGTCGAAGACTCCATCTTCATGTTCTTTGATTTTCTGTGTCATTTTACCATTCCGATTCATGTTCTTCAGTGGTACATATACTTGCAGACCCTTTTAGGAACAAGTGTACCTATATATATTCTCAACAATTCTGATTATGTAGCTTGGGTCTGACTGAGCACAGTCCTGGAACTCAGCTTGCCATAAGGTAGTAATGCGTGCATTATCAGGAGGGTATGGGAAAATGTTCAACAAATATACATTTGCCTTAGCAGGAGGTATAATGGTGTATGTCACTATAATGTTCAATCACTTTACACATTATTATACATCAATGTACTTCCAGCTGGGACGTTACCCAAGCATTGAATAGAAAGGTACATAACTACTGTACATTCTACATAAAATGATGCTCCTTATTGTAGTGGACAGAGCTGTGTCTTCTATGTATAGAACATTCTCTTATGGCCCCTTACTCATCGCACCATAGCGTGAAGTAGCCTGCAGAAGCACAATTTAAGCATTTGTTATATCAATTGCAGCTGTAGTCAAGTTTATTTTGTAAGGTATCCAAGTAAGCTTGGATATAACTCATGTTAGGTGTTTATTACTATTGCTTATGTAGTTGCTGGAGAGATTCACCCTCCCTAGTGCTCCTGGTGACCCTTCTCACTGGAACAGTATGATAGTGGGCAGTATGTGCATGACCGGAGTAGTGAGTGCATGACAGTGGGCAGTATGTGCAGGAGATGAGTGTAGAGAGTATGAGCAGTATGTGTAGGGAAAGAGTGTAGAGAGCATGAAACAGTGGGCAGTATGTTCAGGAGGAATGCAGAGAGTATGACAGTGGGCAGTATGTGCATGACAGGAGTAGTGAGTGGCAGCAACTCAATGCATCTCAGCATCTAGACGTGGTGAAGACGACTTGTTGAAGTTCAAACCGAGCATCAGAATGGGGAAGATCAGCAGTTTTTGCAATACTCAGACCAGCCCGTCTGGCACCAACAACTATGTCACCTTTAAAGTCACTTAAATCACCTTTCTTCCCCATTCTGATGCTCGGTTTGAACTTCAACAAGTCGTCTTCACCACGTCCAGATGTTGAGATGCATTGAGTTGCTGCCATGTGGCTGGCTGTTTACCATCTTGTGTTACCAAGAAACTAAACAGGTATACCTAATAAAGTGGCCAGTGAGTGTATATAAACCTTGACAATTGTACATAATCTCCTGTTTAGTGAATAAACCCCATTTCTGACAATCTAAAGGCTAGGCAGGTAAAAAAAAAAGATGTTGCTGTGATGATACCTGCACTGCACATGTATAAACTTGTATACATGTTGGAAGGGAAAATAAGGCTAAAAGATCTGGGATTCACATCCCATCATCATTTTGATGGAAGTCAAGTGATACTGGCTTTCGAACCAATCAGAGAGCTTGGTGTATTTTAATTTATTTCAGGTACTTATATAGTGCCGTCAATTTATGCAGCGCTTTACATATATATATTGTATATTCACATCAGTCCTGAACCCTCAAGGGGTGTACAATATAAGGTCCCTAACTTACATTCATACATGCACATGCTAGGGCCAATTTAGACAGGAGCCAATTCACCTACCAGCATGTCTATGGAGTCTGGGAGGAAACTGGAGTACCTGTAGAAAACCCACGCAGGCACAGGGAGAACATGCAAACTCCCATGCGGAAGTGCTAACCATTTAGCCACTGTGCTGCCCCATGGCGTATGGTTACATGAGATCCTGCCAGGTGTCCTGATTGGTTGTAAAGCCAGTACCACTCTTTTGTGCCACTCTGCCAGTCAGAGAGGAGATCTTTCTGATCTGCCCACTGGCACATTATCTCCCTACCTGCAAAGTGAAAGAGAAATGCTTTCACACATCTTTTATAAGCAGATCCGCTTAGTGGGAGATCTTTTCCATCTCCCCACTGGCACAGACAGTGATATGCTAATGTGCACAGGGTGATTAGGGTGTGCTCAGGCACAATAAGCACACCCTGTGCGCACACCTATGCCAGGGACATTATTGTGTACAGACCAGTGTGTGAGATCCCAGTCACTGTGTACTGCTGCTATCCCTCTTGCATCAGAGTCAGCTTGTGCTTAAAAATGGTGTCCATGTGTAGCTCAACCCATTATTTGATGCTCCAAGAACTGTGCTAGGAATCTTCAGGAGAAAGATAGGTGTCCTGAAGTTACTACTAAACATTTTTAACATTTCTGGAGTATCCCACGGTTACCCTGCATCCATCCAAGTTTAAACATTTTTTCAATAAAGCATCAAAAAAAGTTTTTCATATGGTTTGGGAATATTGGAAGGTGAGGCCTTTGTGGTCTCAGGTGACAGATTTTATAGTAGATCATTTTTGCTCCCCTAACATATGTAACCCCCTTTTATGTCTTCTGGGAGTTGTTGATGATGAAGAGATAAGTGGTGGAACAAAATTGTTTATTAGACTCCTCTTTACCTACGTAAGCTTATTGCTAGGACGTGGATTTAGGATGAGACTTTAACTTTGGTAATGCGGAAGAGGTTAGTTAACACTGACCTTCCACTCTACAGGATGTTTGGTTTTGTTGGGAAGACTCCTTAACAACTCTGCATGGGGAAGCAACATCTTGGGGAGGGAAGGCTGGAGTGAATCGGACTCTTTGCTGGTCTGCAGTTTGGCGGTATCACACACTCTGAGGGCTTACGTATAGCTTATAAAATACATACACACAATATTCTTGCTTTATTTTTTGTTAATGTGTAAGATTTCTATTTTTTCTTATGGGTTTAAATTTTTGCTAAACTGGGATGCATACATATGTAATGGGATCATCTTCTGGTATTTGATGATGCTTGGTCATTACTACCAAGAATGTATCTCTGGTAGGGGAGGACTGACAACTCATGGGGCCCCCGGGCAATAGGGGATCATGGGGCCCCTGTGTCCTCACCCACACTCAAAACCACACCCAAAAAAGCCTATGAAAGGTACCAGGGGCATGTCATCGGGCCCCCTACTGACCCCGGGCCCTCAGGCAATGCCCTAGTGTCTGAATGGTCAGTCCGCCCCTGATCTCTGGATGCTGTTTTTATGTAACCTGATATTATGGAATTGGCAATGTATAGAATATGTATCTTATGTGCTTTTCCTATTGTCTAGTAATACAATAAAAAAAAAAAAAAAGAATACCGTTAGACCGATCATTGAGCCTGAAGAGTAACTGAGACTGTGTGCCTGGGTGCTACTGCATCTACTGGGGTAAGAGCCTTGGGACCAAAACAGCGGGCCCTTGTGGGGGTGCGCACTACACCTATTTGAGATAAACAGATCCAGCAGGCCATAAAAGTGCCAAAAAAAGTTCAAATTAAAAATATTTTTTTTGCTTAAACAAAAATATAGAAAAAAAATTATACACTTCCTTGAAATCCAATAAGGGTTGCCAAGATTGCGTTTGTGACCACGACATTCATCACGTATCACAAACTGGTGTTATAGTAAAAACAGAAGAGGACAGAGCAGTGTTTTTACACCTGGGTGACTTCTCAGTATTATGTCAAATTTCACCCATCACTAGATGTACTCATGTTTACACAAATCAGATCAAAGCCAAACTGCTAATTAAACAGGGATGCCCAAATCTTTTGTTGATGATGGAGGATAAACATCTTAACATGTCAAGAGGATCACTGGCAGAGTACAATGGTTTCACATCCAGCATCAAATGGCACAGTCTATTCATGCTGATCATTGCCAGGCTTGCATTGATATCTATTACACCTCTTTCATATCCCTTCAGGAAAACTTCCTCTAGGTTATTGCTTGTGTTTGACATATGTATGTTCTAAACAGGAGCTCACACAGTCAATGAATAAAAACACATGCTGACATTTCCACCAGATCAAATATACCATTTCTATTTGTAAAAAGGTCCCCCGAGGCTGAGCTTTGCATTTCAGACCATAAGATTATATCTTGCGCTTGGTCGGTTTCGCTGGCTGTACAGATTCTGAACTGTCTCTCTGTTGGTCCATCAGCATGAAATGAATGCAATGCAATCTAAACCATAAGAAATTCAATCAGATATTTGGTAAAATAATTTTAGCTGCGATATACACATGGATTTGTATTTTGTTTAGTAGATTGGGTTTTGTATTGCGTGTGTTAGCCATATACGTCCCCCCTCCCCCATACATGCCAGCCCAAAGCTACAAGAAGGTTATGGAGAGAGGTCTTCCATATCCGCTTAGCGATTTGATCCCTTATCTCACTGTGCTGGAATGCTCTACTAATTATTATAAAGAGACATGCAAGGACCACCAAGAAATTCAGTTACATTATAATTTATACTCATAGGTTACAATGTAGCTAGATCTAAATACCAGTTGTTTTCTATAAAATTAATGAATAGTAAATGATTTAAAAATAAGTAGTAACATCAGCAAATTGACAATTTTTTGTTACTTTACAGAATATTTATTTAAAGGAGAGCTCAATCTGTGGAGAATCATACAGTTCATTAATCATGATTGCCTAAAATCCAAAATTCTGTACTCGTCTGTAGATCAGATTCTGTATCTATAAGAAACATTAAGGCAAATTAGGTTTAAATCAATTATTTTCCTGACTTAATCACTCCTAGATTGTAAGCTCGAAAGAGTAGGGCCCTCTAACCGCTCATGTGCTGTTTGTTGTTGCTGTACTGTTTCATGTATTGTCCCCCCCTCTATTGTACAGCGCTGAGCAAACCCTTTGGCGCTATATTAACTCGATGTAATAATAATAATAATCACCATCATATAATGAGAATTAGGTTAGGATGCATGGGAGAACAGTCAGGTGTGTGAGCTCCATTAATACTGTCTATGATCTGCTTGACAAATGGTGTTTATGTCTGTATAGAGGACAGGGAGGTAGAAGCTAAAGAGCCATCTTATCTCTAGTATCTGTAATTAGACAAGGGTTAAGTACTATACACATGACACACTCACCCAGTCTGGCTAAAAATTGCTAGATGGGAAGATCCCCATCTCATGTCTAGAGGCACATTTATTGAATGGAGAATATCTCTAGGATGGGGTGTGTTAATCAGGGCTTAATCAGGCAGGCCATACATTATACCTGTTTGTTTTTATCAACCAATGAGTTGAAAAAAAAAAAAAAAAAATGTGTTGATTCCCCCATCCACACATTCGAGGTGGATGGGGGAAATCACTCCCGCTGAGCTGATGGGTTCTCATGGCGGAATGCCTTTCCTGCCATCAGAACACAATGATCAGTGTTGCCGGCTACATTGATAGATCAGCTTCTGTACAACCAGGGTGCCTATACATGGATTGAAATTTGACCAGTTCCTGCTAAACTGGACAAATTTTGATCAATGTATGGCCGGCTTAAAACAGCCACAGGGAATGGTTAGAAACCATTAGTCTGGGTGGCAAATGCAGCCAACTAGCCCTTTCATGGTAGAGACAGATTTCTGAGGACTGCAGGTAGTGTACAATGCAAAGTGAGTCATGGTGCTGCATTGGTTGTGCACATAATAAAAGGTAGTTTTTCCTAAAGGACACATGTTATTGTAATAGACCTTTTCACTTTTTTTTTTGCATCAGCTTCCTTTTCATTTCTTTGCATTCATTTGAATGATATTTAAATGCAGCAAAGAAAGTTTCAGCTAAAGGACTTTCCTATTTTACAATGGCCAGCTTGATCCTGTGTGCTGGGAACACTAATTCCTGTGCATGTGCAGGAGCGACGTCATCCAGCACCAGCCAATTAAGAGGCCCAAAAACTGGCACACAGGAGAAGATGCCAGTGCTGGAAGGACTGTTGGAAAGGTGAGTATCTCTGCCTTTGGTTCTGCTTTAAATTGATATTAAAGCTTCACTTTTTAAAAAAAATAACGAAGATGTCATTCTTACCTACAATGGTTTTTCACAGAACAGACCCAAACCTCTTTGTCTCAGGTCCCCCAATGAGGCTCTGGCTCCTCCCCCTTGACCAGTGTCCCAATGACAAGCCACTTCCTATGGGGGTACTGGAACATGCTCACTTCCAAGCCCCGTTTTATGTGTCCATAAGCCACGGCACGGCTTCATCCCCCACTCTCTCCTCATTGGCTCACTTGCTGTGATTGACAGCAGCGGGAGTCAATTACTCCCGCTGCTGTGTCTCAGTGATAGAGACTGCCAAAGCTCCCGTGCACACTACTGGATTGCGAAGGGACTCAGGGGAGTATTGGGAGGGGCTGTGAATGAAGTACCCACAAAAGGGTTTTTACCTTCGTGCATAGAATGCACGAAGGTAAAAAAAAACCTTCAGCCTTGACAACCACTTTAGCTGCAGGTTCCAATTTGGAAGGAGGTTCAGGTTCACTGCTACCATGAATTTCAGGAAAATTCTACAAGTTTGAGATGTACAGTCCTTGCAAATTTATGTTCAGATTAAAACAATATTACAACAAATGGTCTTTGAACTATGATCAGCAATCTTATGAAGAAAGTGTGTTAACTGTTTCTTGAGAAGAAACCTTGTTATCGGCCAGTACATGAGAAGTATTGTACTACCAAACTGTATGAATCCTGTTACATAAGTATAATGATACTAGTCCAGGGGCAGACTGACCATTTGGAAACTCGGGCACTGCCCGAGGGCCCGGGGTCAGTAGGGGGCCCTATGAGATAGCCCTGGTACCTTTTTCATAGGCTTTTTTGAGTTTGGGCAAGGACACAGGGGCCCCATGATCCCTATTGCCCGGGGGCCCCATGAGTTGTCAATCCGCCCCTGGATACTACCACCAGTAAACAGGTTTCACTTACTCATGTGTCAGGTGTGGTCACTGCTTGGAGGAATCATGTGTATGCTCTCACAGTAAATGCTAATGGCGAACAGGGGCGGACTGCCAACTCATGGGGCCCCCGGGCAATAGGGGATCATGGGGCCCCTGTGTCCTTGCCCAAACTCAAAAAAGCCTATGAAAAAGGTACCATGGGCATCTCATGGGGCCCCCTATTGACCCAGGGCCCTCGGGCAGTGCCCGAGTTTCAAAATGGTCAGTCCGCCCCTGATGGTGAATAAAGAGTAATGCTATAGTATTAATCAAGTAAGAAAGTAAAATTTGCAGCAAAAGAGAAGAAAGAGCAGACAGAAGGAATGGTGGTGACCCGGTGAGAGGGGTTCTGTTCGAGGGGAGGATTGATGCCAATTTGATCTGATCTTCCCAGCGGTAGGGATCCTATCTTAGAGCCCGCTGTGGAACTGAGCTTCCCAGGGACTATTATTATTTTTATTATACAGGATTTATATAGCACCAACAATGAAGGCAGACATTACAGTTACAATCCAATTTGGTACAAGACGAAACAGAGGGCCCTGCTCTTTAGCGCTTACAATCTAGGAGACTAGGCCTGGACCTCAAATGTGCAAGGCCTCACAGCATATACAGTGGCTGTGCTCATATTGTGTGTAAGAACTGGTTGTATATAATCAGTGTTCTGCTGTATTTTCTTAGAAAAGGCTCTGTGGTCAGTGCTGGGACAGGTGTTCTTGGCTGATGTGTAAAATGTTATCCTTCTGTAAGTGGAGCCTTGCAAATTATTTTGGCCTCTGGCCATAAAGTGGAGCTAACCCACGTGAAATAATAAAAAACCATCATGCAGTTCCCACATGCCAACTTGCATAAGAAAAATAGTATTTAACTACAAAACGTTTTCTACTACACTAAACCTTTCACCTAACCTTTACATTTTTGCATGGTTTAACCAAAAAAAAAGTTAAATAAAGCGTATCACTACCCCCTTAGGAGTCACTGGAAGATTTGGGTTCCCCTATAGTCCTGCACAGCCAGGCAGCACGTATCTTCACACAGGCTTGCATCCAGAGTTAGAAAACAGTCCTTGAGCTTTTATTTTGTTGTTTTATTTAGGGGATTTTAACTGGGATAGGGTTAGGGGTGTACAGGATGTTCAAGAAAACTGATAAACTGAGGACAACTTCCTGGAATTATTTACAAGCCTTCTCTGCAGCACAGTCTTTGTTGGAGAGCTAGCCAGCATCTTTTTAATGTACCAACCCAGACCCTAGATGAATTCCTCTTCTTCATTAAGCAATCTGGA